CAGGTGGGATCTATTTCTACAGGCAGCAGAGGCTGCCCTCTCAATTATAGTGTTAACTGCCTTGTTGTTGTTTTCATACTCTTTACTGGGTCTCCTGTCATTTGGTGGAGGGTTGTATATTACTGCTACTACTATTCTTGGTCCTCCCATTGTTATGGTGCCTGCTATGTAGTCTCTGAACTCCTCACAGCCCGGGATGGCCATCTCCTTAAAACTCCATTCCCTTCTCATGAGTAGGGCCACTCCGCCTCCTCTCCTACCTTCCCTCTCTTTCCTTATTACTGTGTACTCCTGGGGAAACACGGCATTCGTTATGATTCCAGAGAGTTTTGTTTCAGTGAGTCCGATTACATCTGGGTTAACTTTTTGTGCTCTTTCCCTTAGTTCACTTGTCTTGCTTGTGATCCCATCTATGTTCGAGTACATCACCCTGAAACTGACTCTCTTCTGCTTCTTTTCTGGGGGGGACCTTTGGAATCTGGGGTGAGTGGGAGCTGGGGGGACCTGGCACGGGGAGATTGGTGGAGGAGGGGGGGCTTGGGGTGGTGGGGGAGAGGGGGAGGGTACAGGGGGTGGATAAGAGGGGGAGGGTACTTGGGGTGGATAAGAGGGGGAGGGTACAGGGGGTGGGTAAGAGAGGGAGGGTACAGGGGTGGGGGTAAGAGGGGGAGGGTACAGGGGGTTGGTAAGAGAGGGAGGGTTGGGGAAGCATGGGGGGAGGAGAGGCTGTGGGGGATAGGGGAGATGGAGGGGCTTGGGGGGAGAGGAAAGGGTGGAGGGCTTGGGGGGCGTGGGGGAAAAGGGAGGGCTGAGGTGGGTGAGGAAGAGGGGAGGGTTTAGGGGAGTGGGGGAGAGGGGAAGACTTAGGTGGGGTGGGGGAGAGTGGGGGCTTAGGGGGGAGGGGGGGAAGGGAGGGCATGGGGGTGGGAGAGACGGGAAGGCATGTGGGAGAATGGAGGGCATGGGGGATGGGGAAGAAGGGAGGTCCTGGGGAGAGGGGTGAGGGGGAGAAGGGGGGTGAGTGGGGGGAGGGGGGTGGGTGGGGGGAGGGTGCCCTAGGTGGGTACTTAGTGGGGGGCTGACAGGGGATGGGGCGGGTTGGGTGTCTGTTGGGTAGAATGTGGGGGTGTTTGCCCCAATCCCTGTGGCTGTTGCACTGTTTGAGGAAGGTTCTCCACTTCCCTCTGGGATTGTAGGGTTCTGGGTTGTGGTACTCTGATTTCCTTCTCTCTCCCTGCGCTCCTTCCTTGTGTGCGTGTGAGAGAGAGAGTGTGTGTGTGTGTGTGTGTGTGTGTGTGTGTGTGTGTGTGTGTGTGTGTGTGTGTGTGTGTGTGTGTGTGTGTGTGTGTGTGTGTGTGTATGTGTGTACTCACCTATTTGTGCTTGCGGGGGTTGAGTTTTGTTTTTTGGTCCCGCCTCTCAACTGTCAATCAACTGGTGTACAGTTTCCTGAGCCTACTGGGCTCTATCATATCTACATTTGAAACTGTGTATGGAGTCAGCCTCCACCACATCACTGCCTAGTGCATTCTTTTTATTAACAACTCTGATACTGAAAAAATCTTTCTAACGTTCCTGTGGCTCATCTGGGTACTACGTTTCCACCTGTGTCCCCTTGTTCGTGTCCCTCCCGTGATGAAGAGTTTGTCTTGGTCCACCCTGTCAATCCCCCTGAGAATTTTGTAGGTGGTTATCATGTTTCCCCTTACTCTTCTGTTTTCCAGGGATGTGAGGTTCAGCTCCTTTAGCCTTTCCTCGTAGCTCATTCCTATCAGTTCCCGGACGAGCCTGATGGCATACCGCTGGATCTTCTCTAACTTTGTCTAGTGTTTAATTACGTATGAAGTCCAGGCTGGAGCTGCATACTCCAGGATTGGTCTTACATAAGTGGTATACAGGGTCCTGAACGATTCCTTACACAAGTTTCTATAGGCAGTTCTTATGTTGGCCAGTCTAGCATATGTCGCTGATGATATTCATTTGATGTGGGCCTCTGGGGACAGGTTCGGTGTGATATCAACCCCCAGATCTTTCTCTCTATTTGACTCTTGCAGGATTTCACCTCCCAGATGATACCTTGTGTTCAGCCTCATGCTCCCTTCGCCTAATTTCATTACCATACACTTTCCTGAGTTGAACTTTAACAGCCATTTTCTAGACCATTCCACCAGTTTGTCCAGGTTATCCTATAGCCTCTGTCTGCATTCATCCGTCTTGATTCTTCTCATAATTTTTGCATCATCAGCAAACATTGAGAGGAACGAGTCTATACCCTCCGGAAGATCGTTTACATATATTAGAAACAAGATGGGTCCAAGTACTGAGCCCTGTGGCACTTCGCTGGTGACATCTCGCCACTCTGTCGTGTCCCCCCCTCACCGTTACTCGCTGTTTCCTGTTGCTTAAGTACTCCCTTATCCACTTGAGCACCTAACCTTTTACTCCTGCCTGTTGCTCCAACTTTTTTTACAGCCTTTTATGGGGTACTGTGTCAAAGGCTTTTTGGCAGTCTAGAAAAATGCAGTCGGTTCACCCTTCTCTTTCCTGCCTAATTTTTGTTGCCTGGTCAAAGAATTCTATTAAACCTGTGAGGCACGATTTACCATCCCTGAACCCATGTTGGTGGTGTGTTACAAAGTTATTTTCTTCCAGATGTTCTACAAGCCTTTTCCTCACGATCTTCTCCATCACCTTGCATGGTATACAAGTTAGGGAAACTGGCCTTTAGTTCAGTGCCTCTTGCCTGTCACCCTTCTTGTACAGTTGGACTACGTTAGCTGTCTTCCAATTTTCTGGTAAGTCTCCTGTTTCTAGTGACCTGTTATACACCATAGAGAGTGGCACACTTAGTGCTTCTGCACCTTCCTTTAGTATCAATGGTGAGACTCTTTCAGGCCCAACAGCCTTTGTCACATCCAGCTCCAGCAGACACCTTTTGACCTCATCACCGGTGAGGTCAAATTCATCCAAGGTTGCTTGGTTTGCCTCCTCCTCATTTATTGCAGGGGCTTCTCTTTGTTCTATTGTGAAGACCTCCTGGAGTCTCTTGTTGAGTTCTTCACTCACCTCCTTGTCATTCTCTGCGTATCTTTTCTCCCTTTTCTCAGGTTCATCACTTGTTCCTTCACTGCTGTTTTCCTCCTCATGTGGTTGTGGAGCAGCTTTGGTTGGGTCTTGGCTTTACTCGCTGTGTCATTTTCAAACTGTCTCTCTGCTTCCCTTCTCACTCCCTGCTCTCCGGTGTTCTGCTATTTCTGTAGTTTCTCCATGTTCTTTTACTCTGTTGCTTCGCTACCTTACATTCCTGGTTGAACCATGTGTTTTTTCTGTTATTTTTCGTTTTTCTCCTTTTGGACGGGGATAAACCTGTCTGCAGCTTCCTGGCACCTCTCGGTGACAAAATCCATCATGTCCTGCACATTCTTGTCTCTAAGTTCTGTTTCCCATGGTATTCTCCTGAGGAAGTTCCTTATCTAGTCATATTTTCCTCTTCGGTAATTTAATCTTTTTCCCTCCGATCCCATCCTTGGATAGGTTATCCCTACCTCTACCAAGTACTCAAAAATCAGTACACTGTGGTCACTCGTTCCTATGGGGGCTTCAGCTTTGACTTCCCTTATTTCTGACCCATTCAGGGTGAATATCAAGTCGAGTCAAGCGGGTTCATCATTGCCTCTCACTCTTGTGGGTTCCTTTACATGCTGGTTCAGAAAGTTCCTTGTGGCCACTTCCAAGGGTTTAGCTCTCCACATATCTGCACCACCATATGGGTCCCCATTCTCCCAGTCTATCTTTCCATGGTTGAAATCGCCATGAAATGTGTGTGTGTGGTGGGGGGGGGGCATGGCAAAGTCAACCAAAGAGGTTTTTTGACAGTAAACTTCACTGTAAGAGTGAAACTGCTTTCAATTTTTTCATTTCTGTGGCTGTGGTGCTTTGGATTGAAGAGCTGGTGTTTGAAGCTGTGGTTGTTGTCTTTAGAGCTGTGATTGTCATGTTTGGAGCTGCCGTTATGGTGTTTGGAACTAAAATTGTGTTGTTTTAGAGAGTTTCTTTTACACCCAATAACATCCAAATCCATCAACTGACTTTTCCCAAGAAAAAAATGACGTTGTCAAACACACACAATCTCGCCTGTTCTCAACGGAGTGCATTCCCGCTTATATAAACCTAAAAAGTAAAACCCGCATTAAGCCAGTAACTAAGCAGAGTAACTCATTTTCAGGGAGTAGGGGAGAATGCAGGTTATGAGTCACGATAACGTGGCTGAAGTATGTTGACCAGACCACACACTAGAAGGTGAAGGGACGACGACGTTTCGGTCCCTCCTCGACCATTCTCAAGTTGATTGTGAATGGTCCAGGACGGACCGAAACGTCGTCGTCCCTTCACCTTCTAGTGTGTGGTCTGGTCAACAGTAAGGGATAATAATTAGAAACCATTCGGCATGGTCTAAGTCTCGTCTGTTTAAACCTTAAAATATATTTACTCCTATTGTGAGCTCCAAAATGGCCCAGTCTGCTGCGCTGAGCGTCTTGAGTTGTGAATGTAGGTTGTGTCTGCTTGAGCCAGCATTTGCTGTATTTAGTCAGCCTGAAGGTTTTTCATCATAGACATTTAATTTTGCTATACACACACACACACACACACACATATATATATATATATATATATATATATATATATATATATATATATATATATATATATATATATATATATATATATATATGTGTGTGTGTACATCACGAAAATAAAAAAGTGATTAAGAATGTCACAATGTCAGATCACGGAGGAAAATGAAACAGGAATTTCCTTAAGTACTTTCGTATATTAAATACATCTTCAGAAGGATTCCTTTTGAAGATGTATTTAATATACGAAAGTACTTAAGGAAATTCCTATTTCATTTTCCTCCGTGGTCTGATATATATATATATATTTTTTTTTTTTCTTAGTTGATATATTGGATATTAATTTTTTTACTAATAACGTGCAAGTAAAATATTGTATTTTTTTAACACGCAACCTGCGTCTGCCGCGGGGGAGACGTCACCAGCGTCTGCCGCGGGGGAGACGTCACCAGTCTGCCGCGGGGGAGACGTCACCAGCGTCTGCCGCGGGGGAGTCACCAGCGTCTGCCGCGGGGGAGACGTCACCAGCGTCTGCCGCGGGGGAGACGTCACCAGCGTCTGCCGCGGGGGAGACGTCACCAGCGTCTGCCGCGGGGGACCAGCGTCTGCCGCGGGGGAGACGTCACCAGAGTCTGCCGCGGGGGAGACGTCACCAGCGTCTGCCGCGGGGGAGACGTCACCAGCGTCTGCCGCGGGGGAGACGTCACCAGCGTCTGCCGCGGGGAGACGTCACCAGCGTCTGCCGCGGGGGAGACGTCACCAGCGTCTGCCGCGGGGGAGACGTCACCAGCGTCTGCGCGGGGAGACGTCACCAGTCTCTGCCGCGGGGGAGACGTCACCAGCGTCTGCCGCGGGGGAGACGTCACCAGCGTCTGCCGCGGGGGAGACGTCACCAGCGTCTGCCGCGGGGGAGACGTCACCAGCGTCTGCCGCGGGGGAGACGTCACCAGCGTCTGCCGCGGGGGAGACGTCACCAGCGTCTGCCGCGGGGGAGACGTCACCAGCGTCTGCCGCGGGGGAGACGTCACCAGCGTCTGCCGCGGGGGAGACGTCACCAGCGTCTGCCGCGGGGGAGACGTCACCAGCGTCTGCCGCGGGGGAGACGTCACCAGCGTCTGCCGCGGGGGAGACGTCACCAGCGTCTGCCGCGGGGGAGACGTCACCAGCGTCTGCCGCGGGGGAGACGTCACCAGCGTCTGCCGCGGGGGAGACGTCACCAGCGTCGCCGCGGGGGAGACGTCACCAGCGTCTGCCGCGGGGGAGACGTCACCAGCGTCTGCCGCGGGGGAGACGTCACCAGCGTCTGCCGCGGGGGAGACGTCACCAGCGTCTGCCGCGGGGGAGACGTCACCAGCGTCTGCCGCGGGGGAGAGACGTCTGCCGCGGGGGACCACCAGCGTCTGCCGCGGGGGAGACGTCACCAGCGTCTGCCGCGGGGGAGACGTCACCAGCGTCTGCCGCGGGGGAGACGTCACCAGCGTCTGCCGCGGGGGAGACGTCACCAGCGTCTGCCGCGGGGGAGACGTCACCAGCGTCTGCCGCGGGGGAGACGTCACCACCAGCGTCTGCCGCGGGGGAGACGTCACCAGCGTCTGCCGCGGGGGAGACGTCACCAGCGTCTGCCGCGGGGGAGACGTCACCAGCGTCTGCCGCGGGGGAGACGTCACCAGCGTCTGCCGCGGGGGAGACGTCACCAGCGTCTGCCGCGGGGGAGACGTCACCAGCGTCTGCCGCGGGGGAGACGTCACCAGCGTCTGCCGCGGGGAGACGTCACCAGCGTCTGCCGCGGGGGAGACGTCACCAGCGTCTGCCGCGGGGGAGACGTCACCAGCGTCTGCCGCGGGGGAGACGTCACCAGCGTCTGCCGCGGGGGAGACGTCACCAGCGTCTGCCGCGGGGGAGACGTCACCAGCGTCTGCCGCGGGGGAGACGTCACCAGCGTCTGCCGCGGGGGAGACGTCACCAGCGTCTGCCGCGGGGGAGACGTCACCAGCGTCTGCCGCGGGGGAGACGTCACCAGCGTCTGCCGCGGGGGAGACGTCACCAGCGTCTGCCGCGGGGGAGACGTCACCAGCGTCTGCCGCGGGGAGACGTCACCAACGTCTGCCGCGGGGAGACGTCACCAGCGTCTGCCGCGGGGGAGACGTCACCAGCGTCTGCCGCGGGGGAGACGTCACCAACGTCTGCCGCGGGGGAGACGTCACCAGCGTCTGCCGCGGGAGAGACGTCACCAGCGTCTGCCGCGGGGGAGACGTCACCAGCGTCTGCCGCGGGGGAGACGTCACCAGCGTCTGCCGCGGGGGAGACGTCACCAGCGTCTGCCGCGGGGGAGACGTCACCAGCGTCTGCCGCGGGGGAGACGTCACCAGCGTCTGCCGCGGGGGAGACGTCACCAGCGTCTGCCGCGGGGGAGACGTCACCAGCGTCTGCCGCGGGGGAGACGTCACCAGCGTCTGCCGCGGGGGAGACGTCACCAACGTCTGCCGCGGGGGAGACGTCACCTGCGTCTGCCGCGGGGAGACGTCACCAGCGTCTGCCGCGGGGAGACGTCACCAACGTCTGCCGCGGGGAGACGTCACCAGCGTCTGCCGCGGGAGAGACGTCACCAGCGTCTGCCGCGGGGGAGACGTCACCAGCGTCTGCCGCGGGGAGACGTCACCAACGTCTGCCGCGGGGGAGACGTCACCAACGTCTGCCGCGGGGGAGACGTCACCAACGTCTGCCGCAGGGGAGACGTCACCAGCGTCTGCCGCGGGGGAGACGTCACCAACGTCTGCCGCGGGGGAGACGTCACCAACGTCTGCCGCGGGGGAGACGTCACCAGCGTCTGCCGCGGGGGAGACGTCACCAATGTCTGCCGCGGGGGAGACGTCACCAACGTCTGCCGCGGGGGAGACGTCACCAGCGTCTGCCGCGGGGGAGACGTCACCAGCGTCTGCCGCGGGGGAGACGTCACCAACGTCTGCCGCGGGGGAGACGTCACCAGCGTCTTCCCAGCCCCGGCTCTCCCCCCCTCCCCCATCCCTCCAACCATAGCCCCATCAACCATCCCAGCAACAAGTCCTTCACCCAGCCAACTCTCCTAGGCCCGGGGCTGCAGGAAGATTGATGATCAGACTCAAATTTCGTTCAGGAATTCGAACTTGTAGTGTTAGAGGAGAAATTAGTTTTTCATTGGCAATTTGTTAGTAGTTACTGTTATGCGTCTCAGATGAGAGAGAGAGAGAGAAAGAGAGAGAGAGAGAGAGAGAGAGAGAGAGAGAGAGAGAGAGAGAGAGAGAGAGAGAGAGAGAGAGAGAGAGAGAGAGAGAGAGAGAGAGAGAGAGAGAGGGAGAGGGAGAGAGAGAGAGAGAGAGAGAGAGAGAGAGAGAGAGATAGAGAGAGATAGAGAGAGAGAGAGAGACAGAGAGAGAGAGAGAGAGAGAGAGAGAGAGAGAGAGAACAGAAGTTGAAAAATGGAGCTGCTCTTTATTTTAATTTATCCATGGACTGTCTGCAATATTTGGTAACTTGACCCAATGACTACCAGTAATAGTTAGTATGATTGACCTGTGATTTTATCAGGTAATTTTGACCCGAGATTCCGTGGTTATGTAATATTTTGTTTAAATAAATAACGGAAGGGAAGCGTAGTGTCTTTTGCTTCTTAACACGCAAACATCCGTCGATTGTGGCGGCTCTGTGGGACGCATGCCTACACACACACACACACACACACACACACACACACACACACACACACACACACACACACACACACACACACACACACACACACACACACACACACACAGGTTGCAGAGATGGTCAGAGAAATGGCTATTGGAATTCAACACGAGCAAATGTAAAGTTATGGAAATGGGACTAGGAGATAGGAGACCAAAGGGACAGTACACAATGAAGGGGAACAGCCTACCTGTGACGACGCGCGAAAGAGACCTGGGGGTGGACGTAACACCTAATCTATCTCCTGAGGCACATATAAATAGGATAACGACAGCAGCGTACTCTACACTGGCAAAAGTTAGAACATCATTCAGAAACCTAAGTAAGGAGGCATTTAGGGCCCTCTACACTGCCTACGTGAGACCAGTTTTAGAGTATGCCACCTCATCATGGAGTCCCCATCTGAAGAAGCATATAATGAAACTGGAAAAGGTTCAGAAGTTTGCAACGAGACTCGTCCCAGGGCTACGAGGGATGGGGTATGAGGAGCGCCTGAGGGAACTGTGCCTTACGACACTAGAAAGAAGAAAGGAGAGGGGGGACATGATAGGAACGTATAAGATACTCAGAGGGATTGACAGAGTGGACATAGACGAAATGTTCACACGGAATAGTAACAGAACGAGGGGACATGGATTGAAGCTTGAAACTCAGATGAGTCACAGAGATGTTAGGAAGTTTTCTTTTAGCGTGAGAGTAGTGGGAAAATGGAATGCACTTCAGGAACAGGTTGTGGAAGCAAATACTATTCATAATTTTAAAACCAGGTATGATAGGGAAATGGGACAGGAGTCATTGCTGTAAACAACCGATGCTCGAAAGGCGGGATCCAAGAGTCAATGCTCGATCCTGCAGAGACAACTAGGTGAGTACAACTAGGTGAGTACACACACACACGCGCTGGAAGACAGAAGAGCTAGGGGAGACATGCTTAACACATACAAAATTCTCGGGGGAATTGACAGGGTGGATAAGGATGGATTATTTAACACGGGTGGCACACGCACAAAGGGACACAGTTGTAGGCTGAGTACCCAAATGAGCCACAGAGACATTAGAAAGAACTTTTTCAGTGTCAGAGTAGTTAGTAAATGGAATGCACTAGGCAGTGATTTGGTGGAGGCTGACTCCAAACAGTTTCAAATGTAGATATGATAGAGCCCAGTCGGCTCGGGAATCTGTACATCAGTTGATTGACGGTTGAGGGGCGGGACCAAGGAACCAAAGCTCAACCCTCGTAAGCACAACTAGGTGAGTACACACACATATAAACATTAGTTTACCATTTTTTGTAGTTACCACCAACAGCTAAACCGTTTAAATAAAAATTCCCTTCTGTAAATGGCAGTGATTATACAAAGTTTTTTAAAACTATCCGCGAAATTTTTAGCCGTTGTCGTTTTTATTGGACATCATAATTAGCGCCAAACAAAGCGAATGGTTGTTTGTCGTTTTTAATTCTCCCATTTTCTTTGGGTATTTTCTTTAACCTTTTGCTTTGGCCAAACACCCAGGAATTTGTAGGTGTTTTCACCTGTATTTGTTCCAATGTCGTTACCTGTATGGTGGACTAAGGCTGAAATATTATCAACGCCGGTCCAGTGAGTTAGTCATTACTTATGCACCCCTTACCCATCCCGTGGGCGGTGGTGGAAAGGGGTGTGGCGGAGGTACATAATGGGTTCAGGAACTGATCAACATAGTTCGTTTAGCTAAGCAAGTGACAGTATTGTGAAGCTAGGTACACAATTGTTAATATTATACACACACACACACACACACACACACACACACACACACACACACACACACACACACACACACACACACACACACACACACGCACACACACACACACACACAGTGTTTTCTTCTACAATCCTTATTTTGTTCTTTTATATATTATGATTTATATATTTTATTACACTGTGTTAAAGTGTACAGAATACACACACACACACATGGCAATTACTGTTGAAAAACCTCATCTACAAAGCAGCACTATTAGGCCTAGAAAGCAATGACCATTTTCTCTAACAGCCAAAAAGTATTTTTTGCGTATTTTCATTTTTGTCACGAAATTAGTCCACCCCTTCATAATATCACAATTACATTAAGTGCATGAGTTACTAACTTAGGCCCAGTTAAGGCTTCACTTGGCAGTATTGAAGAATAACAGACACTTTAGGTTCTGGTAAAAATGAAAAAAAAAATATATCAGTTTACGATTCACCTGTTGCAAGCAAAGGCTTGTAGTTTTGTATTTGTTTTTTTGTATTCCTGTGTAAAGAAGTATTTCATGTTTTTTTCTCTGTTTCGTGGATGGCTTTCTGTTTTTTTTGTTAATTATTCATTCTGACATTATTATTTTAATCTTTGTTGTATCTCTGTGTTTTCTGTACTCACCTAATTGTGCTTGCGGGAGTTGTGCTTTGGCTCTTTGGTCCCGCCTCTCAACAGTCAATCAACTGGTGTACAGTTTCCTGAGCCTACTGGGCTCTATCATATCTACATATGAAACTGTGTATGGAGTCAGCCTCCACCACATCACTACTTAAAGCATTCTATTTATTAACTACCCGGACACTGAAAAAATTCTTTCTAACGTCTCTGTGGCTCATCTGGGTAATAAGTTTCCACCTGTGACCCCTTGTTCGTGTCCCACCCGTGCTGAAGAATTTGTCTTTGTCCACCCTGTCAGTTCCCCTGAGAATTTTGTAGGTGGTTATCATGTCTCCCTTACTCTTCTGTTTTCCAGGGATGTGAGGTTCAGCTCCTTTAGCCTTTCCTCGTAGCTCAGTCCTCTCAGTTCCGGGACGACCCTGGTGGCATACCACTGAATCTTCTCTAACTTTGCTTGTGTTTAACTAGGTATGGACTCCAGGCTGGAGCTGCATACTCCAGGATTGGTCTTACATAAGTGGTATACAGGGTCCTGAACGATTCCTTACACAAGATTCTCAAGGCAGTTCTTATGTTGGCCAGTCTAGCATATGCCGCTGATGATATTCTTTTGATGTGGGCCTCTGGGGACAGGTTCGGTGTGATATCAACCCCCAGATCTTTCTCTCTATTTGACTCTTGCAGGATTTCACCTCCCAGATGTTACCTTGTGTTCAGCCTCCTGCTCCCTTCGCCTAATTTCATCACCTTACACTCTCCTGAGTTGAACTTTAGCAGTCATTTTCTAGACCATTCCCCCAGTTTGTCCAGGTCATCTTGTAGTCCCTGTCTATCTTCATCCGTCTTGATTCTTCTCATAATTTTTGCATCATCAGCAAACATTGAGAGAAACGAGTTTATACTCTCCGGAAGATCGTTTACATATATTAGAAACAGGATGGGTCCAAGTACTGAGCCCTGTGGGATTCCGCTGGTGACATCTCGCCACTCTGATGTCTCTCCCCTCACAGTTACTCGCTCTTTTCTGTTACTTAAGTACTCCCTTATCCACTAGAGTACCTTCCTTTTTACTCCTGCCTGTTGCTTCAACTTTTTTAACAGCCTTTTATGGATTACTGTGTCAAAGGCTTTCTGACAGTCCAGGAAAATGCAGTCGGCCTACCCTTCTCTTTCCTGCCTAATTTTTGTTGCCTGGTCATAGAATTCTATTAAACCTGTGAGGCACGATTTACCATCCCTGAACCCATGTTGGTGGTGCTACAAAGTTGTTTCCCTCCAGATGCTCTACGAGCCTTTTCCTCACAATCTTCTCCATCACCTTGCATGGTAAACAAGTTAGGGAAACTGGC